CGAAAACCATTATCTCAAAAACAAAATGGACGAAATCTACAAGGAAACCACGAGTGTGCTTCTATCAGCAGGATCTACGACTTCTACGACGACTGTGAGGTTTATCAATTGAAGTACACGTCAACAGCTACGTGCAACAGTGTGCCACCTTGTAATTGCTGCTTGCTTGCTTGCTCGAAAGGCCAAGAGAGATGGACGAGGCGTGTCCATGTAATTTTTGTCGCTTTCTTGGCCTGTCATGCCCGCTCTGCTAAAACGTTTCGAGGATGTGTGTGTATGTGTTTGTGTTTGTTTTGTTGCTGTGTACGGCAACTTGCTGTTCCGCGTTGTGCAGTGGGCATGTTGAGCCGGGTTGACCGAAACTTGTAGCTATGATTCCGCCCTAGGCGGAATATATTCGGGCAGTTGGTCCCTGTAAGCCTGCGGGGCTGGTGGTTGGTGGGTGCTGTCTGCATGCTGGCTTCTGTCGCATTTTTTTGTCTTGCAAGCGTGAGAATTTTTTTTTATCTTTCATAATATCATACTTGGAAATATCGTACGAAGCAGAAGACAAGACTACCCGTTCCTTCGGGGTACATGTACAACCCGTTCGAAGGCAGGTTGGGAGTCTTGACTCTGTGTAGCATGATGTACTCCGGAGTACCGTTTACAATCAGGATCAGGCAAGGCACCGTTGGGTAGGAATGGAGCTTTGATGCTTGGATGTGGTGCAAGCCTGAACTTTGGCGGACGAAATGCCGTCCTACACGCGTTCTATTGGTGTGTAAAGCCTTGGCTCATAGCCTGTTGGTATGCATACGACCCAGTAGCGTGTTAGGCTATAGTATGTTCTATCTGGCCACTGCTGTATGAAACTGCCATGAAGAGACGAAAAGAGGGGCGTTGCCAGCTGGAGGTAAAGCGCCGCCTGGGGCTGGAGAGGGAGGGGAGGAGGAAGAGGTCGCCTGAGGTGCGCCGTAGTGCTGCTGCTGCTGCTGCTGCTGCTGCTGCTGCGGAAAGCTCGCCTGCTGGGTAGAGGTGTCGAAGGCCCCGTTGTAGACTCGTGGTTGATAGGTGTCAGTACCGGGCCTGCAGCAAGAAGGGTAGTGTGGTACGTTGGTCTCCTCCTGCTGCTGGTGAGACCCGCCGCCTTCGGGAAAATGGTCGAAACCGTATCCCCCGCCGGCGTTGCCGTAGCGTAGGAACCTCCGCCGTGGTCCCCTCCCCGTGAGCTGCGAGCCCATACCCGTGGCCTGCCTCGGGAGGTGGTGGGATCCAGCTTGGTGTTGATGCCGGCGCCGACGTTGCCTGCCCATCCCGAGGTGATGTCGCTACCGAACAAGTCTCCGCCGCCGATGGCCAAATGATCCGGAAAAATAGGGCCGCGGAGCGTTGGCAAGCTACCCGGGAGGAACGTTGGGCGGCGGGTAATTTCCGCCGCGGCCGCCGCCGCCCTCGGGTCGTCCACGGCTGTCGGGAGGGGCGAGGCCCGTAACCGCCACAGCCACGCCCCCCAGAGTTGCGCCCCTGCAGCTGCCCCCAAGCTCCGCGCCCTGATCCACGCGGCGGTCCCGGTTGCGCAGGAGGGTGGCCCTGACTCCAGCTCGCACCGTGTTCGATTTGGTTACAGCTGGTCTTGACGTACCACCAACCATGCGCCCCGAGTCTTGCGCTTCGCCTCGAGGAAAGACTGACGCCTGGGCGTCCCTCCTACCGCTCATGTACGCGTAGAACTCGTTGTAGGGGGCGAGGAAATCGCTGCGCAACTTGTGGCAGTCGGAGGTCTCGTGTGTGCTGTTGGGGCCGTGGAGCTGGGAGAAGTGCGATGGCTGCTGCTGTTGGGGCTGCATCGACGTCTGTGGCTGCTGCGGCCGCTGTCCGCCTTGATCCGATCCGGCAGCAGCTGGTTTCCTCGCCCCGCCGCCCCGGCCCATGCCGGCAGCGACGAGGGCGTGCCTCGTCTCCTCCTTCCTCTCTCCAGATCTCCGCTCGTACCTCTTCTCGTGCTCGGCCATCCTCAGCGTCTCCTGCTTGTTTACCCTCGACAACATCGGATGACACAGAACGCGATCTTTAGTCTTTTCGAGCTCTGGCAGAAATCCCCGAGCCGTGTGCTTACACATAGATGCTTCATCTCTTTTGTCCCCATACGACCTAAGCCTCATCCACAGAGCTACGGCCCTACCGAAGTAACTCATTAGACTCTCCCTGCCTCTGCCTTAGCACATTTCGTCGTCAGTGTTCTGGCGTTCCTGTCTCTTCCTCTGGCTTTACTGCTGGAGAAAGACATATCCTGCTTGAGGTGACTCCGACGCAAAATTTTGCGCTTGCACAGGTTGCGCTGTGATCTTTGCTGTAGCATGGAAGTCCATTTTTTCTCGAGTTCCTGGCTCTCTCCTCTCCCGACGATCTTCTCAACCAGTTAAGATCCACACCAACTCCACCTACAGGGACCTCTGGGCCCCTCATCGCACCGCATCGGCAAGTCCTTCATTCTCTACCCACGCATCGAATGCACTCGTGAAACGCTCGCAACGCCACCTCGATCGATCTGTGCTTGAGCAAATCATCATTCCAAACTGGGACGTGTACTCTCTCTCGTTGTCTCAGTTCTACAGTCTGGGCACTAGGCGTGCCTGAATGGGCACGGTGCCCCTGATCCTGAGAGATGCCGCGAGAGCCTGCTTGAAGAGGTCAACCAACTTGCGCAACGTGTGCTCTGCTGATCTTCCCCTCCCGCCGCTCTCGCATCTCCCCGATTTTCTCGTGCATCATTGGCGAAGAATCTTTTCCACCGTCCTGGACTCCTTCCCCGGGGGGAGGGTTCCCATTACCTTGTCCCCCCAGAGGCTGTTTTCCGTCTCCGTCCGGAATCTTGCGCGCGTAAGCACAGCAGCCACTCTCTTGACCGGATGCTAGCGTGTTGAGTAGCTTGTGTGCCTCGGCGCGGGGTCCCGTGGTGGGGAATAAAGAGCCAGCAGCGTGGAAGCCGCTAGCGGTAAAATACAGAAACGATCCGCAGGCGTGGTGGCCTTCTTACTTTGTGGTGGAGCGTGGCAGCTCGGGTATGATACCGCTGGATGTGGCGTGGAAGCCCGGTGGCATGGAAGCCGTAGTGTAAAGGTTATGCAAGGACGTGGAAGTCCTGGAGGCGTGGAAGCCGGATGGCGTTATAGTCGGATGGTGTGATAGCCGGATGGCGTGAAAGCCGGGGAAAAGGACTTGATTATACGCAGGAAAGAAAAGAGAGAGAGTGAGAAGACATAAACCACAACCACCAATTCCAATGTAGACACCCATATCATCAATCGTGCAGTATGTGGCAAACTTGGGACCACCAAATCTAATCCATACTGTTGAACCCCCCAAAACTCCCCGCGCTCCATCTGCCTGGAAAATTTTTGCTTGTAGTAATCTGTCGATGCTGTGAGTACATCCAACACCTGCGACCCACCCCTCAGTGTTCTCACAAAGTGCCCTTTACCCCCCCCCTCCCCCGTCGTACCGTAGAGACTACCTGACTGGCTTTCACAAGCGAAAGCAAGCGAGGCGGCGGTTCGGGTTAGCCATGCAAGAGATTAAGGACCGCAAGGAGCGCCTGGAGGAGCGCAAGGAGGTGAGAAACACGCCCACTGCCCCGACATATTACATGCGTCAATTTGCTGCGAGCGGAACTTGAACATACGCACACGCCTCCGCCCGCGAGAATATCTTGCCGGGAACCGCAGACAGCAGGACGACATACCATCCCGTCCGTATGCATGTGCACAGTACACAGCGTGGACTGCTGCTGTCTACTACTAGTATGCCGACTACTGTGCGTGTATGGGGGTGGGTGGCGTGCACCGGCGTGCCCCATTGGCTGTTGGACAGAATTTCGAAACATGTCGGAGGCGGTTTCACGTACAGAGTTCGATTTTGGAAGGCTTCTGCCCGAGAGGCACTCCCGCCCTCGCTGTCAACCGCAAAACTCATCACCACCGTTTCAGACGCCCCCCCCCCGGAGTTCGATCCCATTCTCAACATCCTCTCTCCAGCATCGAATCACCACGCGCACGCTGGTTTTTCCAGATAAACATGGCGCCTATCTCACGGCGCTTCGCGCTTGGTGATGTGAGAGCCTGGTCCGGTGAGAACCCGGCGTGCCCCGTCCCGGCTTTGTAGGGATCCGAGGTCAATGGTCTAACGACTACGGCATGCACGACTTTGAGTAGCCCCCCCCCCCCGTACACCTGACGCCCTGCGGGCCGCTAACAGAGGCGGGAGGCGATGAAGGAGCGGCGGGAAGAGCTCGGGGTGAAGGAAGACCTGGGGTCATTCGATATCAAGGGGAAGGCCAGGGAAAACGCCAAGGCCAAGGCTGAGCAGCTGGTCCAGGTGGACTTCGAGGACGGCCACACACAGGCGAGGGAGACAAAGAGAGCCTGCTTGCTTGCTTGCTTGCTTGCTTGCAAGGGTTTCGTTTTGATGAAAAGGGTTTGTCTCCTTTATTTGTGGGCCGCCTACGCAAGATTTTAAGAGTATCTAGAAAAAAGAATAGGGAGGGGGCAAATCCTTACGAGTAGGCAAAGCAGCTTTAGACTGATCAGGACTTGATCCGTCTCGCCTCTCCATAGGTGCCTGAGCTGGGCCCGCACTCCCAAGTATAGTGGGAATACACCACCGGACCCCCCCAATGTCCAGCTATCTCTTTCTACCCATGTCTGACGCGGTGGACCGTGTGACTTAAAACCCACTCACACTGCCCATTTTCGCACTCCAAAGCGGCCTCCCCCCTGTCCTACCCGGCCGGCCCGCATGACAAGTCTTTTCCTTTCGTCTTTGCCTTGACACGCACCCGCGCGTTTTGCTCCTCCGCCCCGCCCCGCCCCGCCCCACCCGCCTGTCGCCCCGTCTCTGCCCGCACAGGCGATGTTTGGTGACACCGTTACCGTCACCACCGTGGTAGGCATTCCCGACAGCGACGACGAGGAGGACGCGAGAGAGACGGCGAGATTGGAGAAGGAGCTCCTCCAGGAGAAGAAGCGGAAACGCGCGGAGAGGCTGGAGAGGGGTCGAGGAGGGGGCGGGGGGGGCGGGGCGGCGAGAGGAGGTAAAAGGCGCTGTTTAGTTGAGAATGTGGAGTGTGGAGTGTGGCCTTGGAAGTTTTGTTGGTCGAGACTGACTTGCCCTGTGTACAGCACACTTCTTCACCACTTCGGAGGGGAGAAATGCTTGTTTGTGTACGCGATTGTGACCACGGAAGGCGGCCGCGTCAGCTTGACCAGAGTGTGGCGATCGGAACGGGTTTTGATGTCAAGACAACGACAACAACAACAACGCGTACAGATGTTCGAAGGTATTTACTGAGTGGCGATCGGAACGGTTTCTAATGTCAAGACAGCAACAACCACAATAACAACAACGACGACACGTACGTGCGACTTTTTGTGTGTGTGTGTGTTAGGTGTTGCCGGGGATTCCGAGGGGGCAAAGGAGGAGCGGTGGTCGTTGGCGGCGGTCTCGAAGCGGCTAGCGGCAAACATGCCGGCGAAGCCACGAAAGGGAGCGGCGAAGAGAGCGGCGCAGGCGGCGGCTGCGGCGACGTCGGAGAAGGGAAAGAAGGGGAAAAGGGCGAAAAAGGCGGCGGCGGGCGGGGGAGGGGGGGCGGCGCTCATGGACAAGGCGCGGGGGAGCATGCCAAGGGCAGAGCTCAGCAAGGGGAAGAAGAGACGCTAATACCATCTAGTGTCTCCCGACAATAGACTAATTTCCGGATTGTTCGTGGAAACGCCCTCTCTCTCTTTCGCTTGTTGGGGTTCGGGCTATTTGTGAGTGACAACGCCGTGTGTGTCTGGTTGTCGCTAATGTCGGCGAGTACTTGGCGGGCCGTACCTATTTAGCTGGTCCCCACCCCGTATTGTAGCTGTCAGCCGTCGAAGTTGTTGTGTTGCCGTGCTTGGAAGCGTTTCGCGCCCGAGCTTTTGGTGCGATTTTTTTATTTTTGTGCTTTCGGTGTCCAAGCGTGTACATAGAAAACCTGCGCGTTCCAGATCGCGAGGGAGGGCATGCATGCTTCAGAGGCAGAGGCAAAACTATTACCGTCCAACTCTGTTTTCATCTGTTTGGTCTCCCTCGCGGGTGTTCCTTACCAAGCAGGTCTTGCCTGTGGGTGGCCCGAACGACAACAACACTGTCACCACCGCCGTCGCACGCCGTACAGCACACACGCACAAACAACTCTTCGAGTTCTTGCGGGGATGCGTAGCATGTACGGGAACCAACCACACCGACAACGGTCCACGTGAATGACGATGATGTTGCAACTCGATCGGCAGGAAGTCGCTTTGTTGTTTGTATCCACACGTTACTGATTCCTCCAAGAGCAAGCGCCTAAGGATATCTTACAATTTCCCCTCAGACATTGGAAGAAATAAAAAATGTCCTCAATCGTTTCCCGATAGGGGCGTTTGTTCCGAGGTCAAATGTAAACGTTAACGTTAACGTTAACGTTGGTTCATGCCACGGAGGAAGAACGGTTGCCAACGCGCAGTGGCGCCAGGTTGTTCGAAGCAACACCGTCGCGCACATTCCCAGTGCACGGTCGATGGTACAACGTGCTCTATGCTGGTGTTCACCGTTTCCGCCCCAGTTCTCTCGTTTGTCATTGGCAACTAAGCATGACTTTTTTGGGCCCATCGTAAGAGTGCGCGTTATGGCACCGGGTTGCGATCGTTTTTTAAATCGTGCCTTGCTTGGCTTTTTATCACACCCCGGTACCATGACACCGATGAGTGCCACAACACCGATATTCCGGAACGGTGCGGAAATGGAACTAAATCATTCCAGATATCCAACGCACCCACCCCCGGTGCGATGACACCGATGGGTGCGATACGGAAGAAATCACAGTTGTCATATACCGTGTTTTTCAGTCAAATCTACGCGAACATCTCGACAGATCGATTTACATCCCATGAAAGGAATGGCGCCCCATTCGATACCTACCAGCCGTACGTTACATAGTGTTCAAGCCCAAGAAGCACGCAAATTTGCGTCCTACTTAAGCAGCTTTTATATGTCGCACCGGGTGCGTTAGCACCGATACCGAATCAACGATGGGCGCCATGACAGCCAGACACTCGCGCAGGTAAAAAACAACAGGGGTACCCCATCCCTAGTAGTAGATGCCCCCCGAACACATGTATGTCCCTAGAGCTGGCTAGCCCTGCGGCAGCCACGCCCAAATAACGACTCCTACGATACGTAGACTCTCCTGATGGGGCTTTGCTGTGATCCCTCCCATGCTTGCCGATCTTTCGGCGTCGTAACAAGCGACGAAAACCCAACTCTGATGGCTGGGGGGGGGGGTGTTTTTGAGGGGGGGAAACTCCGGCTATTACGGCATCACGCTCTATTGGTATGAACAATCAGGCGAACGAGCTGCTGCAGCACCAGGGCCTTGTTTTGCAAGCGTTCCCCCTGTCGGGGCTCCCCCTACTGCCGTACATAGTGAACGCCATAGCACGAACGCTAAGATCGAGAACCTCATCAATACAGAGTCGAAGCAACCGCTTCCACGAAGCCGCTGTCGCGACAAAAAAATTAACGCCTACGCTTTCTAGAGCAATCGGTCGCTGACAGAAAAGAAAACGCCGCCGAAACACACTCTATTCCACTTCCATGAGGGTGATGGGCCGTCCTTTCGGGCAGGCCCTTGATTCCCTCTCAAGCAGCCGCCCTTTTTTGTCCACGGGGGATAACGGTGGGTGTTCGTGGCGATACCGCCCTCAGCGGTTGGCGTTGAGACTGGGCACTCAGTTATCCCAGGAACGGCAGATGAAGTAAAGCAATCATGTACTACAACAAAAGCAAGCCCCGCACAGGCAAGCGGGTTTAGGGACACGCACACACGACCTACACCTACAACAAGGAAAGCTCACCCCATAGGCAAGTAACAGGAGCACACCGACGTGTGCTCTCCCGGGGGGGGCGCACTTGGATCCTAACGGCATACATACCCATCACCCATCACACACATACTTCCCATACGCGTATCCCCCACAGATGACGCACAGATCGGACTGAGATCCAAGTACCACAAAAACATTGATCCGTCGTTCAACTCCGCCCGCGATAGCAGCTGAAGTAATAACAACGCTACCGTGGAGCCTCGCCGCCCTTCCCTCTCTGCGGCGCCATCTCCACCCCGAGGTCCCTCCGCACCAGTTCCAGCGGCTGCTCCCACCGCTTCTCGTACCACACGCACACCAGGGGCCTTCTGGCTCTCCTCCCCGCCCGGATGGCCCACGGGACGAACGTACGCGCCAGTACCTCACGGCTCCCCCGCCGCTTTCTGCCGCTGCCGCTGCTGTCGCTGGAAGAGGGGGTTGTTGTCGGTGCCGGCGGCTCTTTGCTTGGGAGGGCGAGGGGCCCCAGCACCGCCGACAGGGCGCACACGGGCAGCCCCGTCTGCACGAGCTCGAACCACTTCAGCGCCAGCTCTCCCTCGACCGTCGCGGGAAGGCCGGTGAGCGCGTGCCACAGGTCGTGGACCTCTCGGTATCTGAGAAGGGGCACAGCATTGGAAGGGGGAGGGGGGGGGGGGGGGGGGGGGGGGGGGGGT